AGATCCGTGTGAACACTGTGAACCCCACCGTGGTGATGACCGAGATGGGTCGTTTGGGCTGGAGTGACCCTGAAAAGTCCAAGACCATGATGTCCCGCATCCCCCTGGGCCGCTTTGCAGGTCAGACACCTCAGGCTTTTTAAACCGGACCTACTACTGAGTGAAAGACACAGCTCATTAGCATTTAAAGGTACAGACACAGAAACAGCCTGTTCTGAGCAGGGCTGAAATAGAGGGGTTTATAGACATGATCACCCACATGTTTTGGGGACCTCTGAGATTTATCTAAAATGGTTGAAAAGGCGGATAATATGTGACCTTTAACCATTACCGTGCATTAAATCCGAACAATTCTCACCAAGCTTTCATTTTTAAAATATGCTTACTTCACGGAGGAGCTCTGTAAGTGCATCTGATTCTTAAAGTAGACCAAGATCTTCCTTTTGTGAAGCACTTGAAAAGCTTCCATTGATGCAGACTGGGGAATCACAGCACTATGCACTTACATCGTGTTTCAATGGATAAATCTTTTTTTTTTTTTTAAGTTGAGGTCGCCCTCATCTTCACATGACAAATGGAGAAAGTCCTCAAACTGTCGTGCGTCCTCAGAGAGTTCATACGGGGTAGCTGACAGGGAGACGGATGGTTTATTGAGATTCAGGAATGTTGATTCATGGTTGCGAAACAATGGAGCAGCTCTTCCCCCACGCCTGTGTTCTGTGGAGGGATTAATATGTCCTCTTGTGTCTGGTGGGAGAACTGTGTTCTGGGTGGGCTAAAAAAAAAATTGCGATGAGTCATCCGTTTTCTTGATTGTTTATATTATTTACAGTTATAATCTCGAGCAGCAGCCAATCAAATTAAAAGTCTGTTTTATTGCCAGCATGGCCGTTATCCATGGACTGTATTTATTTTAATAGTGAAGCAAAAATATTTAGAACTCCCTGTAGTGACTGGCTGCACTGTAAGTCATTTTTAATTGTTTAATATAATTTTATTTGCACAATAAATCATATTGACACAAGTAACTAAATTAGAAACTAAACAGTGCAGGAAGAGGCAAAAAACTCCAAGAGCTTATTTGAGGCCTCCGCCTAAATAATGTTAAAATATCACTAATACGGCTGTTAGATTTCAATACTTAATCGCGATTAATCATAATTTCAATCACATGTTGGAAATTCCATTATTTCCCGTTCAAAAATAAAATTGTTAGGCTTTTGTTTTGAAGTTATTAATGAAAAGCTTAATGGAAGGGTAACAAAGTAAAATGTTTGGTGTCGTAAGGTTGATATTACTTTGGACTCGTCAGCTGTGAGAGGGTTTGAAATGTGAAATGAGACATTCAAAGATGCAGCAGGGTGGTTCTTTTCCATTATTGTTATTATTGTTTTCCATTATTGTTATTGTGCAGTGTCTACAGGGAGACACCGAGGAGGATTATATGCGGTCCGCCTGAAGGGACAAAATAGAATGTGATTAATCAGGATTTAAAAAGAATGAATGCATTATGAATCAATTCATTTTGATTAACTAGATAATGCTTACAGCCCTAATCATAAAAAAACACATAATTTAAATACAGAAAGTAACATGTAGAGGAATATATTGACAGTATTGTTTTATATAATCTACGTACATACAGCAACATAAACTCCCCATCCTCCACATTAACAGATATGACATGGGTCAAATGTTTTTTGTCCTTAAACCCGGTGTCTGTTCAGGTCTTCCTTTTTAATTAGTTGTTTGATGTTTTAAAATGGTATGAAATGCCATGACTGACAGCTCTGCTGACAAATGCAGCTCCTGCTGTGCTGTGTTTATTTATCAGAGGAGAGGAGGGAGGGCGAGAGGAACACTAATGAACACTAACACTCCAGTCATCAAATGATCCAAAACTGTGACTGTCTGCTACAAATCAACACAAGAATCTGTTCCTGTGGGATGATTTATCTGAGAGTTAAATGTGTGTTCTGGTCAGTAGAAGTTGCTTCATCAGCTGATCTCAAACGCACAGACTTTGGCTTCAAATCTATCGACATGTCAGAACGTGTCTCGAGGGTATTTTGGCGTCATCTTTGAACAACAGGAGGAGGTGGAGATACAGCAGTGCATGCACACAGCTACCCTTTTATCTATAATTGAATGTCTATTGTGTGTGTGTGTGTGTGTGTGTGTGTGTGTGTGTGTGTGTGTGTGTGTGTGTGTGTGTGTGTGTGTGTGTGTGTGTGTGTGTGTGTGTGTGTGTGTGTGTGTGTGTGTGTGTGTGTGTGTGTGTGTGTGTGTGTGTGTGTGTGTGTGTGTGTGCGCGCGTGTGTGTGTGTGTGTGTGTGTGCAGAGGTAGAGGACGTGGTGAACAGTATTTTATTCCTGCTGAGTGATAAGAGCAACATGACTAATGGAGTCTCTCTGCTGGTGGACGGCGGCTTCCTCTCCTGCTGACCGGCCTCGTCTCAGCACATCATCGTGTCTGCAGTGTGAAAAAAAAAGTACTTCCTGTCCTATCACATCTGTGTACACATTTATAGTCATTAAACTTGACTTAACTGGAATTTGTTATGGTTATTTCTCCTTTTTAATGTGCTATTAATGTAAAAATGTTTTTTTTATTTTATTGTTGATTAAGAGCTCAATAACATTTGTCATGCAGGTTGTTTTTTGACTGATTGCTATTGAAAAAGCATGTAGAAAAAAGCTGAGGTCCAAGCTGTAACTCACATTTACTGAATTAAATCATAAAATGATCTTACTATATGATCAGACATTAATGAAACATGTTATGCTGAAGTGATGGCTCCTCTGTCAACAATGTAGCAGCCAGCGTGTCCTTTCTCTACGTTTCGATTCTGGTCCTGAATGTTTGTTTTTGTTTGGACCAGAGAAGTAAGCGGTTTTCAGGCATCCCCACACAGCCGTTTTTAGACGCCCCTCAGTTTGCAAACGACAAACCAACAGGTGTTGCAGCGATGGAAGCAGGCAAGTTAACTGGTTCAGATATAATTGTTTCTACCCGACCTCAAAAGCCTCTGCGTTTAATAATCTCCATGAGCAGATAACTAGGATAAATATTGGAGATGCTTTTTTAATAATGGCGAGAGGTTAGAAAACAGAAAGGTTGAAAGACTGATGCATAGCTGGCTAAACACTGAAGCTTCCGTGTCCGCGTCATGGCAACCTGAGTGTACACCGACTCTAGGGAGGAGGGGACGGGGGGAGACAGCTCTCGTCAATGTTTTGAATTTGGACTGCAGTATGATTTTTAAATGCTAACAATGACAAAGTGGGAACAATTACTTCTTGTCAAGTGTTCATATACTTTGATATTTAAATGTATAAATATGTCTTCATCAAATGTAATCAGTAGATTCAGAGAATGTTTTGTTCACTATCTTGAATAAAATTAAACATTAAAGGCAGTGAGGGTAACATATGTTGCATTCCTAATAAGTAAAACATTTTCATTGTTATTATAGATGTATGTTGGGATAGTTAAAAATATATACTGAATGTAAAACCCAGTTTCTAAAAAGATGGGACTTTGTGTTAAATGCAAATCAGAACAGAATGTGATGATTTTTTGGTTAACCTCCCAATAATAAAACTATAAAATAAGTTGGTCTCCCTAAATTCCTCAAACACTTACAGAGTTGTAAACATGATAACAAACCTGATAACAACTTTTTTTTATCCTTAGGCTGGCAATCGAATTCAAAATAGATATTACATTTTCAAAAAACAATCAATATTTCCCAGCTTTAACATTTGGCATGTTGTCTTTTTTTTATATCTGCACTTGGCAATCTGTACCGTGCCCAAGCATGTTTAGAAAATCATCTCATTCTGTTTTTATTTACATTTGACACAGGGTCCCAACCCAAGAATTGGGTTTGTACATTTAGACTTAAGACTTTATTGTCCCCATGGGGAATTTTTGTTTCTTTCCAACAGACAATTCCCACCAAGGAACATAACATCACACACAAATCACAGAGTATAACACAAACAATGCCAAACAACAATCAAAGGTTCCCACTCTGGCCTGTTCAGCGAGGTCTTTTTTTTCAGGGAAGCTATAACAGCAGGGATCAGGCGTTCACCAAGGCGAGCCCTTCTGCACCTCTGTGCTCTGTACCTCCGTCCTGAGGGAAGTGGGGTGAGGTATTCAGTCGATGTGTGATGTCCTGTTCTATTGAGGTTGCAATGCGTGTGATGGCCCTGTTGTTGAGTTCTGTTTGGTTGGGTGTGGGGAGACCGATTATTCTGGCAGCTGTGGTTGTAATGTGTATGAGTTTGGCCCTGTTTGTTTTTAACAGATAACACGTTGGAGAAGCAGGTGGAACAGTACATCAGGATGGGCTGGATCATGCTCTCATATAGCAGCAGCAGCAGGGGCGTGTCCAGACTTTTTTGACTGGGGTGGCCCACCTGGAGCACTGACTTATCCAGGGGTGGCCTGAAGTTTGTGGGCATACACACCTTTCTATATCCACCAATGATGTGTACTTATTAACACAATTTGGCAACATGTAAAACTTATTAGCTTGATTCTTAAGGGACTCAAAAACAAAAATATCAAAAGTCATAATTGAATGTACTAAATTCTATGCAAACTTGCAAAAATGTATTAGCAAGTAAGTTAATTGCAAGTTAGATGGTGTGTATTAGTTTTGGCTTTTATTTATTTAAAACTGAAAGTACTAACAAAAAATATACCACATTAAGACGTAAAGAAAACGACCAAAAGGCTGCTGAAAACAGCCAGAATAGTTGACTTAAATCTCGCCAATGAAAAGGCAAATAGCCAATTATAGATTTGGGGTGGCCAATAAGATTTCAAAGGGGGCCCATGCCACCCCTGGACACCCCACTGGACATGCCCCATAAGAAACAGGAGGACATATGGGGGGGGGGGGGACGGACGACATACAATGAAGGCTGTACAACAAAGAGTGAAATACTTACAACCACTTACCATTAAATACATACAGGAGTTAACGTTAATTTAGTCATCATTTTCTCGTTTATTGAATAGTATTTAGCAAGAGCTTGACTTTCACCTGCTGCCACTGATTCACTTTGATTCTTTTATGTTTACAAAGAGGTTGATGTGCAAGAAAGAGAGAGAGAGGAGTGTAAGTGAAGAACAAACCACAGCAGAGCGCAGACTTCCTTACATATACATTTGTATTTAGTATACAAAAAATTGAAATATTTCACCACACAGACATGTGAAGTAATAAAAAATAAGACAAACAGTTGGAACAAGTATACAAGTCATCTTACATTACATACATACATGGCCAATGCATTTCATCATACAGCCTCTCCTAAGAATTACAGTGGGTCAAATAACCAGAGAACTTCCATGCAATAGTAGATTAGAATTTTTCGCTGCGTTTCTCAGCTACATTTGGACACCTCAGCTAGTAGGCAGGACCACAACACACGAGTCGACCACACACTTTTTGCTATGCCAACCAAAGACAGCGTGACGGAGTGGACTGCAGTGCTGCGTCTCGCCACACGGGGGAGACAGACACACTGCAGGCCTGCAACCATACAGAAATGCATTTTCATAAAGGTGCAATCTGCACTGTTTGCCCTGCGACAAACTCCACAAAGATTGGCCCCCTTTATTGTACACTGTTAGCAACACTTCTAACTTCAACATGAGCGACTATAATCCCTTTAGTTTGAATTGTTTTTAGTTTTTAAAAGCTAAATATTCAGGTACATGTAGATAGATATTCATAACGCATTCCTTTTCTAAGGATTATTCTGTACATCACTAGATGTCATTAATATCCATTTTTTCTTTCTGTGTGTCCACAGATTATTGAAAAGGCTTGTGTATTACTACAATACAATATGAAATTGTACCAAAAACTGGACACTAAAAAACTTGGCTTAAAACAATACTGTCATTATGCACCCCCCCCAAACTGTCGAACGGAGCCTTCTCACTGATACTGACATGTGCTCATCCACATACACACACACACACACACACAAACACTTTCACACTCCAGTGTTTGTAAATACGCCTGTGACACACACACACACACACACACACGCACACACACATCCACACACACACACACACACCCAGTCACACACAGAGGAACAGAGACAAGATCTAAACAATGGGATAAATTAAGACAGAATATTTTTAGACCCATGCAAGCTCCTCCGCCCACACCAGGCAGAACTCAGGCAGCAAGGTTGTACAAGCCCCCACGTTTGGCATGCTCGTCCGTCACATGTTCACAGTTAGATGAAGTTACCCAAAGACACTTTGACTGAGATCAGATGTTTTTTGTTTTTTTTGTTTTTTTTGTTTTTGGGTGTGAAAACCTTATTAGAGGAACCAGCAGGCCCCGCAGAGGGTCGCAGCAGTGAAGGGAACTTGACCAAAAAAAGATCTGATTTCAAGGTTGAATCACCACTTCTCACGCCCCGGTGGTCGACAGTCTTTTATCATATTATCGTATTTGTAGATTTATAATGGAGTAGTTTTCAGCTGCACATCAGAGTCTTGGACTGAGCAGACTCCTCTAAAGGTCAGGCTAAAGGCTCTGGTTTGACAAAGTGACTCGACCTGATGCATGATGAGATTCGTCTTCACATTATCAAGAATGAGCCTTCGCACTTTTACTGAAGGTCATTTAAGCACAAAGGATTTATGCTAAGAGAGGTTAAAATCATCCGCTCTTACTTTATGCTCATAAAATCCTTTAAAGATGAATTTGTTTATAGTTTTGTCAATCTATACTTTCAGTAACAATAACATTGGACTCATTAAAGTAACTGCTTGAACGTCTAAACCGATGGAACACAAAACGTAATTATCCTGAATCAGTTTTTTTTTTTTCTGTGGTCAAAGTGAATTGAGCAGAAAATCCAGTGAGAAGTACATTTTGAGCATAGACTGCAAAAAGAAGTGGACATTATGTTCTGGTTCTGAGAAGAGAAGAAAAGAGTGTCTTCAACCTGCATGCTCTTTAATGGCCACTAGGGGACAAGTTGACTGGTTGCAATTACAAATCCTACTCTGTTCTTGGGGATCTAAACCTTCTTCTTACTTGATTTATCACCTCAGTAAATATTTTCCATATGAGTTTTGTGGTCTTAATCTGTAGTTCTAAGTCTTTCCAATACAAAAAGATGATCGATGTTGGATATTTTGTTCAATTTTGGACTAAAACAGAAATTATTAAACAGGGCGTGCTTTGAGAAAGCAAACAAAAAAATGTTAGGCTTTTTTTTTTTTTTTAAGAGCTCAGTTTATCGATTGGCGTGTGGTTTCAAATTAGCGTCCCAATTCATCTCAGAGTTACGTCAATAAAGGATGGTATTAAACAAGTGCTAGCGTTAGCTGCTAACATAGCATTCTCTAGTGCGTTAAACTTCATGTGCCTCATAATTACCGTCCACTCATGGCTCCGAACAACCAGGATGGATGCAGTTGGAATACTGACAACAACAGAAGGGTGTTCAGCAGCTGCCGTGTCAGCATGGAGGCGTAGCGTGAGTATCGACCCGTTCATCAAAATATGGAGACTTTCGACATTAAAGAAGCTACGAAGATGTCAAATTCCGGCCTTCAAATCTGGAGTCCCAAGAACCCGTTAAGAGTGAAATGTCCAGTTCTTATTTACAGTCTATGACTTTGACATGTAGCCCCTCGCTAAGAAGGCTTGCTATGACTCATCAGGTGTTGTTGAGAACAACATAAATACTGAATGAAACAAGGATGAGAAAAAAAAACAGTCCTGGTTTAGTAAAACGCGTCATATCCCTTTAATATCAGGTATAATCTGTTGTCCAAGAACTGAATTATTCCCATTAAAGACTGAACTTGTGAAATGTTTAAAGTAGTGGTAGGTTTTTCTGTCTTTTATGTCAGGTTTGTGTGTACATGCTGATCACAGATCGGGAGCTGAGGGTAACTTCAGACCTGAAGGCGATTTTCACAGTTCACTTTCTACTTAGTCAACACTGCATTAAATCAAGCAAGCATGGCTGAGAAAGAAGAGATGTTGTGGTATGAAGACAAGTAATAGAAACCTTTGTCAGCCCTCATGGCAACTTGTAGTTCTATGAGTACAAAGTAGGTGGACAGTAAATGTCTTTCACAGAGAACCTATGAACCTATTTGGTAATGGTAAAAAAATCCAATTAAGTATTGGTTCTGGTCACCAATATCGCTTTGAAAAAACATCAATATAAAGAAAGCAATCTCAGCAGTGCACACTCACTCTCGCTAGTTTTCTTTCTCATCCTCTCAGAGAAGTAGTGGTTGTTGTTCATGGTGATGTTGTGAAGTGTTTAAGCAGTGTTTCCTCCTCAGAACATGGTGCACCTTTTTCCCCTCTTCTTCACGGGTGGAGGGCAGAGCACGGCTCGGATGGCCTCGTCGAATACCGTCTTCAGGCCTCGCTGGGTCAGCGCGGAGCACTCCAGGTACTTCACTGCCCCTGTGGAAGGAGGAATGCATGATGGAACATTTTTCACACTACTTCTAACGGGTACTCCCTAAAAACACAGGGTCGATTCATTAAAGGATTGCGTGACTTTTGCAACCGCTTAACCTGTGCAGATGACTGAAAAACACGCACATCCAAACCGTAAAGCACAAGCAAAGGCTTGAAGATGTACTATGTAGATTTGGAGAAGTGAAACAATTCTATGCTCTATTTCATTGTCTAAATACACAAACTTTATTCAAAGGGAAAAATGTGTCCCTGCACACTGTTTGGAGCTTAAAAGTGACCAGGAGAGTTACGCTTTCACTGTGGCGGGCCCCCCCACCATAACTTCTCATGTACCATTTCATCGTCAAACTGTGTTACAGGGACCAAATTTCACTCTGTGGACAGTTTGTGTATTGAGTTATGAACATATACCACAGAATCTGTACATGTATCCAACTTTCACATTTCTCTACTGAAACTCCAATGAAATTAAAAATACATTTTCCCAGTTTTAATCCAAATGTTCATTCATCTGCCAAATATATTAACAAATCATTTTTATTTCTAATAGATAATCATTTTGAACATTACATTTCAATATCAAAGGTCTGATGACTCAGCCTGCACTCAGAGGCGTTTATTCATTTTTCAACCAATAAAAAAACCTTTGTTGAAGCTAACGATCCAATCAAATCTATCCTATAGCCCCTGTAATGTCCCGCCTTCTATCTTGTTATTGGTTATATCCCATTTCAGTTGAAATGAGGTCACAACTTTAAATGTGCCCCAAACTGCGCCACAGCGCAAAAAGCTTCTCTGTGTGTCGGTGCTTTTTGCACATATTCAAATGAGCCACTATGCAGTCATTTAGGGGGGGCTGGCCCCCTTTCTATGCAAATCACTTCATTGCAAATAAAATGTCTCATTCAGAAACAGCACTAACATACATACACAGTTAGGGTGAAATCAAATACATTCACTGAGAGTTGGTGGTAACTGCGCCACAATATATTAGGGGACATCACACCAAACTTTCCAGTGATCATGACAAAAATTTCACCTCTGTATAACTTGATCACAAGTTATCTGGTAAAACTGTGCCTAAAAATAAATCACCTTTAAGCCTGTGGCTGGCACACTTATGGGCAGCGGGATGGGAGTGTTTTTATATGTTGACGGAATTGAGTTCAGTCAGCACAAGGGACAGCTTTTCACAGATATTAGCCCGTCATATAACAGGTAACAATATGTCCAATATCTGCATTAAAATGCCCAAGTCAATTTGGTGATGACGCTTTATTTTTTTGTAATGTTTACTTGGACATTTTGAGTTAAGATATAAAAAATAATACTTAGTTAGTTTTAGGAAAAGTTGAAGTTTTCATTTTCAGAGGACAGTGTTTCCCAGTTGAAACAGAAAACCTTTTACTGTGAGAGTTACGGACCTCTCCTAAGCGTCTGCTGTAAATCCTGCAAAACATCCATCACAAAGAGTGGTGTGTTTTTAGAAAGCCTAACGCTCAAGCACAGCGAGGATCAATTTGAGATGTCTAAAAACAGTCTCAGGGCCTCAGAATACTTCACATTTAGGGATTGTTGGAGTCTTTTATACTATATGAAACACCTTCCTGATATTGGATTCATACAATTGTGCACGTGGCACGCACAGCCTCACCGATCTCTCTGGCCATGGCCAGGCCTTGCGGGTAGGTGATGGGGGAGAGCTTCTTGTCTCTCAGCCTTTCGATGGTGTCCTTGTCATCTCGCAGGTCCAGCTTGGTGCCCACCAGGATGATGGGTGTGTTGGGGCAGTGGTGTCTCACCTCAGGGTACCACTGGGGCACCGCGCACACAAACATACACATGAACGTATGCATCAACAAAGGGCGATCGGTGAGAGAGGAGAGGGAGAGCAGTTAGCGCCTCAACATGATGACATTCAACAAACTCTGAGCGGTGGAAACTAGAAGTAGATTTGAATAGATCAGTGTGAATGGAAGCAACAGTGGTATGGAACCAAAACATCCTCAGGCACTCAGAAACCCCCCGATCACATGAGATGATGAGAGAATCCCGTCAGACCAGAAGCATTCAGACTCTGCAGAGCGATGTCAGACCTTTCAAGAAAAGTGTGATTTCATCTGTGAGCGTCTCATGATGCTCAGCAGACCAAACCACAGCGGTTGTCCCCTCCATCCCTCTGCAGAGTGTTTGACTCGTTCAGACCTCGCCTCACAACGTGTCTCTGTACCGACGCCCTGCAGGGTGTCAGTCGAAAGCCGGACCGTTCTAAGTCGAGGTCAGAAAGGTTTCAGGTCAGCGCTGTGATAAGCCAGGTTGGAGCAAAAGATGTGCCTCCTTGTGGTCAGACTCGGCGTGGAAGGGGGGGGGGGGTACGAGAGGGGGGAGGTGCTCAGTCAGCGTACTGACCTTAGCTCGGACGTTCTCAAAGGAGGCCGGACTGACCAGGGAGAAGCATATCAAGAACACATCCTGGGAGAGAATCAGAGAGACGGCTAGTTGAGATCCAGATCGACGTGTGTGTCTGTGTGCGTTTGTGTGTGTGTGTGTCATCCCTTTGCTGAACGCAATGACAGTTAAAGACACAAACACTTCTTTATGGGACTGTAGATCTTACATGTAGTCAGCTAGATATGATTAATTAGTTAAATACACTGCTCTCTTTATAAATGTGATGTCCATTGATTTCCTATCCCTGATCAAATAAAATGTAATTTAGTGGTGTCGGAAAAATCTTTGCAAAGTTTCTTAAATAATCCTGACATATATGATACCTTTGTTTCATCAATCAACATGTGTGTTCAACATATGTCATTGTATGCGATAATCTCTTGGGTCTGTAATCCAACTGCAGTAAGAAAAAAAAAGAAAACCGTGTGTGTGTGTGTGTGTGTGTGTGTGTGTGTGTGTGTGTGTGTATGTGTGTGTGTGTGTGTGTGTGTGTGTGTTCTGGGGGGAAAGGGTTTGAATACCGTCTGTGGGTAAGACAGTGGTCTGAGCCTATCGTAGTCCTCCTGTCCTGCTGTATCCCAAAGGCCCAGATTCACTGGTTTCCCATCCACCATCACATTGGCGGAGTAGTTGTCAAAGCTGCAGGAAGGCGGATATCAAACTGAGTGAAACGATTTTAAGTGAGAGAGTATGCAAATGTCTGCAGAGGATCCGTCCTTACTACCACATACTAAGGAAACACGATGACAAATGAGTTAAAAACAACCGTGAAGTCAGGTCTGCATTTGAAAAGATGGCTAAAAATCAACCTTGAATCTAAAATGTTTTGTTTTGTTTCCACACTTAAAAGCAGGGTTGGTAACTCAGTACAGCTAACAAGGTTTGAAAAGTAACATTTACATCTAGACCAAGCATTAAAACCGCCTGTGCTTTAAAATGAAGCCAATGCAGAACTGCAAAAAAAACTGCAGTTCCTCAAGTCTCCACTGGAGGCTGCCTCGAAAAGACCCAAAGTCCCATACACACCATATTAAAATGTCCATAGTTTGGAGTCTGGTGCAATAACAATGACTTGGTCTGTTTGGTTAATGTCTTTTCAGCACACACTGTACTGGGGTGACTTTTTTTATATACGCGCTCGTTTCCATTTTATTTAAGTGATATGCATAATAAGGGGATGTTTGTCAGGAGGCTTAAGGCCCGCCTCAGCTCCAGCTCTGTGCATGTTGTTAGGGTTGACCGAAAGTTTGATCGAGTCAGTATTTCCGATATGACGACCGCCATGGATAGATGTTGAACACCTCCAGGGGTGGTGAAGCGCTTTGCTTGCGGGCTAGTGCATGGCAAGGGTAGAAAACACACAGGGAGCCAGGGAGACATTTGATTGGCCCTTCCCATCTGGACCTCACGGCAGTGATAGGTCGGAGTTTTTACAAGGATTAGAGCAGCGAGAGATGACGGCTTGTTTTAATGGTGTCTGTCGGGCTGTGAAGATAATTTCAATAATAAATAAAAAATAGTGTAGTACTGGATAAAACTACCAACCCTACATTCAAGAATGAACTATTTAGCAAACATATGAATTAAGAAAAATTTGTTAAGATTTATCAAGCAAATTAAATACCTGAAAAAGGTAAAAGAGTTTTACAAAATCATAATTTTTCAGCAGCTCTGTTAACTGCGATGTAATAATGTTTACTGTGGTTTAATTCAGTGATAACAGATTCAGAGCTGCAACACTATAAACAGTATGACAAAATCTGACTCAAAGTCTCGTGTTTTATGTTTTTAACGATCAATTTGGTACAGTCCTTTAAGATGAAATCACTGTTTATATCAGATAACTGTTTGAGCATGTGCAGTGTGTGGTGCTACTCACACGGTGGGGATGTATTCACCGGGGAAGGCATTTGTGGTGTAGCTAATCAGCAGACAGGTCTTACCCACAGCCCTGAGGAAGAGGAGGAGGAGGAGGAGGAGGAGGAGGAGGAGGAGAGGGACAGCAGATTATACAGAATTTATAATACAGTTCAACAAACTATTTGTGTACAGAATGAGTGTGACTCTGTGGATGCATGAATGTTTGTGAGAGTTCAAAAGCAGGCTGTGAGTCCCTCTCACTGTTCCACTGTGCCACACAGACACTGGCCTACATTCATGTTGCCTGAGGGACATAGTATCCCCTCTATGATACCCCCACCCTCCCCCCACACACTCACACTGACACACTCACATGCACAGGCCCGGACCTACCACTCCTGCCCACATAAAGTACTCATAACACCCCCCCACACACACTCCTCCTGTACTGCTGCAGTGTCCTGACAAAAGCTGCAGGGAGCCACACAGATAGGTGGTGGCATGGATGGGTATTGGCTGCGTGCTCATGCATGAGGTAATGAGCAGTTTTGTGTGCATGTTGTCATGGATACCACCATTGGTGGTGACACACACACAGTGCCAATATGTGTGGAGGGACCCATTAGGCTGATTTGAGGTCAGTGAGGGAGTTTCACTGGTTGGGATGAAGCACATGACTGAGAGCAATAAAAGACCAGAAGGAAGGCCATGAATTAATGTGGGCCCAACCGTTTTCAATTCTGTTTTCCTTTTTAAGTATAAAAGAAAAGGCTATCACGATTAAATAAAAGGCACGCCTTTGTGATTTGGCATGACACGTCCATAAAACTACAGGGCTACTGAGACAGTTTAAAGGAAAATTTGACTAAATCAATGCAGCAGAAGCCGATATAATCGGTGCAAAAAACCTGCAGAAGTGGAAGTGCAGGATTCAGACGGGGGATTTGAATGGGGAAGGGGGTGGCAGTAGCTCAGTCCGCAGGGACTTGGGTTATGAACCGGAGTAAAATAAATAATGATGTCGACGCCCACTTCTTAGAAACACTCGATGGCTGTGAGCACTTTGGACCAGAACAGTAAAACAATGGTGCTGAATTCTTCAAAAACTGACCCAGAATCCATAACTAATACATATGAGAAACTGTAGTGTGCATGTTGTACTGCAGTGTGGTACCTTACGATATGTGACATGTAAGAAGTGGCCCATGATAGCAAAATGATCGCTATTTGGTATTAGCGATTTGATAATTGTATCACACCAGTCAGGACGAGGATGTACTGCTATTAAATGACCAGTTTTCTACACTTAACTGTCCCTCTTTATTAGCCTACCCAAGATTCAATCCTTACAACTCCTGATCTCCTCTAACTCTATGAAAACTCTGTCTTTTCAAGAAACTACCCTGGACGCTAATTTTCCGCAGGCAACATAAATGGATAAAATTATACAAAACTAACTGTGGGAGTGGTGTGAGTTCAAGAAAATAACCGTAAGAAGAGTTTCAGAGATTTATCAAAGCCTAACGATACAAATGGTCTTTGAATACATGTTGAAGACTGCTAGCTAGCAGCTGCTCATATGTGTGCATGCCTTTGGATATTTGAACTTGTCATAGTAGGAAACCATTAGAAGAACCCAGTAAATCATTCTAGTGTGCCAGTAAATCAGTGTGAACGGAAAGGGAAAGAGAAAAAGGCCAATGTGTTGTTTACTGGTACAGGTACAATGTTACATATAGCCAGGCTTAAAAATATTCTCTCTACAGGCAGCAACTTCCAAGGCTTACAGCAACATTAATTAACGTTTCCTCCTTAAAAAAGTAGTATCAAAGGTCACTTTAATAGCACAATAACTTTCAACCAGGATAAATGACATCTATCATGTCCACAGCACGGCCCAACGCCTGTTTAATGATGTATGTAACTTTAGCAGCAGGCCGAGGTCATCTCACAAGAAGTGCGTTCGGCTTCACGGCACTAGTTCCCACACAAACCTTCATTTATCAAAAAAGTAGGCCAGTAAGCCCGTCTCAGAACGGTTTGGTATAATGGCTGAGGCTATGAGGAAGAGGACAGTGACAAATGAAGCTAAGGAGAGAAAAGGAGAGATAGACTGAACGAGAAGCAGAGTGTACATCTCTGCAGATATTATTCATTGCAGATTGCATTGTAACGTTATGGGTGTCGTCGTCGGCTCATGTTTAGCAGCTTTACCCGTTGCAGAACGCCATCTAACCCAAGTTATGTCTCAGGTTTGCATAAATTAAATAAATAAATCCATTTTACGTCCAAAAAGTTGTTTCATTCCTCGTTGATCTTCAAGTTAGCTTTACAAATTTGGAACCTACCGCAACTAGCATAAGAAATGACCCTCGCCAATGTAGCCATTTAGCCACAACCTATAGACGTCATGGTAACAGTTGAATACACACACACATACTCGACATGTTAACAGTGCAAATGGGCTGTAGATGCTAGCAGAGTCGTATTTACTTATGAGTAAACAAACATGACGTTCAAGCTAAATGTGGCTAGCTGTTAGCAGGTACGACTATTACAGGAAACATTTAGGTCTAACTCCTTTCCTTGTCAGCTGGATTGTGGTTTATTTTACAGGACACGTTGTAATATAACTTCATGCTTTGCATTTATTGTCATCACCATGGTTATGTGTGTTATGCTTCCTGCTTCAGTCAGCTTGCTTCCTTATTGGCTTTTATTCCGTTCCATGTGACAACTCACAGAGTCGGTGCTCGGTCGTCCTCTGTGTTCTCCCAACAAACACAACAGGATTTCTGATCGTAAATAATGAACACTTTTAATAATTAGGATTTCAAATTGGGGCGGTCCCGATCGTCTTCTGAGCAGATCGGAGAGGTTAAAATCACTCTTATCACACCTCACACCACAGGAGAATCTGACAAGATCATTTTTGGAACATCTGATAATCGGGCCTTTGCTGACTTTGGTCAGAAGGGGGAATCGGGCCGAATACCTTGTAGTGTATACCCCACTTAAGAGGTGTTGGCGTAACAGCACTATGTGCGTCCTAAGACAGTGCAGTAGGCGCCAAAGTGCTCCAAACCAATTTCTTACATATTGTTGCTTTAATTATAAGGCAACGACAGAAGTGCCATAAGATTGCTGTTCTTTAAATGGCCACATAGCCGATACCATCAGTCACCAAATATGCTAATATCGGCTGATTTTATCGGCTGGCCGATTAATCGGTCAGACACCAGTAAACAACCCAAAAATAAATCTTACATAAATAGAAGTTATAGATAGTTTTATACCTTCAGCCAAAACTCCACTGCACATGGTCAAAATGCAAATAAGTCAATGACAAGAAAAAAAACCTACTCCTCACTTACACATTTACTACATCAGTAAACATTTTCCTAATGACCTAAAAGTCTCAACCACTAGTATCAAATCTACTTCAAAACAGCATTATGTTCATTTTGTAAAAAAGGAACTAGTCAGAGTAAAATAGATGATAAAGCGGGATATGCTTGAGGGTGTGGCTATCTTTTGACTGACAAGTCAATCTGAAAAAATGTCTTGCTCAGAGTTTGTTTGTGCTAAAAGACACTCTGAAGGGGCTGCGGTAGTCTATTGGTAAGAGCGGACACCCCATGTATGAAGGCTATAGTCCTCCAAGCGGGCAGCTCAGGTTCGAATCAGACCTGTGGCTCCTGTGCCACATGTCATTCCCCACTGTCATTGACCCCTAGTTCCAATATACTGTCCTATCTCAACAATAAAGGCACTCAAAAAGGCCCAACTGATACGTCTGAGGAGTCTGCTCAGTTGTTATGTTCTGAGTCATTTTTATATATTTCGCCAACAGAAAAAGCAATCTGTATGAATATGATAGTTCTAATGAATTTGTAGCAGCAGATAATAACTTAGTGTTTGCAAACCCCACTCTCTCTTCTTCAACTCCACCACCAACTCTAAATAAGGTCACCTCTGGCTCCAAAACAACCAGATGGCTACAATTAAAATGTCCATTGTAAGGCTTGTATTAAATTTCCTGTAGAGTGTCATTTACATCAATTAAAACAATTTGTGTGCTCACTTCTGCACCTTGTACCTCTTAAACACACAACTCTTTCAAACTCAACAAAAGCCCAGTTTGCAGGCTTTTTTTGTTTGTTCCCAAGCCTGATGACATCACTGAGGTTGTTTTTCAGACCTCAGACAGCTCCCTCCAGAGCAGGACTCAACATTACTAATTGCAGAATTTTAATTTCACATTTTTGTGCACATTTTTGACCACAACATCGACTTCCTTTTTTTTTGGTATCAATCTACTTCACTGCATAGAAGGATTTGAGTTACAAAGTTTTTAGAGTTCCTACATTAATTAAAATGAGAATAATACCAATTAGGCTATTAAAAAAAACTGCATAGTAGCATTTAACCAGCAGTCAAAAAAGACTGGCATTTTAATTAAGACAGAAATGTGACTCTATTCTAAAGCCTGTTTTTTTTTTAAAATATAGGCTATCTAAGCATTGACAAAAATGGGAGGGATCTAATCTACAGCTAGCGATGATATCATTATTAGGTAACAGAAATGAGGAACACCCTGCAACATATTTTATCACATGAAGAGGTTTGGATGCAGTAAGAAAGGCACAGTGTGAGCAGAACTAGGGCAGCGGGGCCTGTTTGCCACTGACAGGGCCACAAATTCCTAAGCGTGCATCAGCACTTCAGCCTGCCTCCAGTGGCCTACGAGGCGTGTAGGTGTTCCCGGATAGCATCCCGAGGCGAATCGCTCAAGCAGTCTCACCGAACCGGAGAGATGCCACGGTGTGATAATTGCAATCCTACTGCAGATATCAGAGGGAATCGACCGTCTGCAAGGGGGAACAGACGGCGGAAAAAGCAGGGCGAGCGACAGATCGGGTGAGCCCCAGCCCATTTTCCTACATAGCATCCTCCCATCATCCATCCATCCGTGGACTCTCCACTGAATCCCCGTAAAAAAAACAAAAAAAACGCTGCTGCAGCCGTGTGTGTGTGCGTGTGTGTGTGTGCTCTTACCCGTCGCCCACCACCACACATTTGATCGCCTGCATTTGGACCGCAGCTGGACGCTTTCAGGGAGCCGGTGTTGGTGCTTCAGTAGATCCGACAGTGTGCACTGAGGTCTCGGATGAGAGCAGCGGGCCAGTCCGCTCGGCGATGGAGCCGCAGTGAAAGGGGGTCTAGGACGAGCAGCGCCGAGCGATGACGGAAACTACCGAGCGGATTTAAAGGGACAGCGTCCGAGCAGACCATGGGAGGACTCACTTCCGTCTACGCTTAATTTCTTTAAGAACATATTAGACCCATTCTGAGATTTAGTCTGACATTTTCCAAGAATAGAAATAGAAATAGAATCGAAATCTTTTTACAGAGTAAAACAAAATGTTAATTGATAGATACTTTTATCCTTCTTAACAGGAAATTACACTTTCACCACAACTATTCATGTTCGGTATACCCCATGCGACAGTGAACATGGAAACATTAAGGCTAATAAATCTCTAAATACATAGGAATGTGCACATTAACATATATATGTAATTTCTTATATTTTTCCAACCAAACTGATGAAATATTGTGCAGTTTGGACCTCAGAATGTACAAAACATGTGACAGAACAAAGAAAATGAATAAAACTTACATTTAAAATGAGCTTTAAAGGGTTTTTGACACATTTGTTTTCCAGGCACACATTCGTTAAGCACAGAAAAAAACGTTCCTATGATCCAAAGTCACTATTTTAAATACTAACCGAAATGGGCTACCTTGAAATGCAAAGGAAACTACCATCAGCCTGTTGTAACACAGCCAAAATGGATGATTTGAAAACGTAAGTCCCGCTTCTGACAAGGCAAACAGGCAACATAGTTCAGGATTTTGGGGTGGCCAATAAGATTTCAAGGGGGGCCATAGCCACCCCCTGGCTACACCACTGATAATGAAGTGCAGAAACACGAAAGGACAGATAAATGTTTCACAGGTTTTGAATTTCATTGATCTGTCTTGACAGTAGATGATCTTTGGCTGTATTTTCAACACCCAGTGACCTCATACATCCCCACCCTTAACACTCTGAATATGCTAAAACATTTTATATGAAATTGTAATCCAGATCAACCCAAATCAACCACACATCTAAGAGAATAGCATTTGTTTCACTCATAAACACATTTAACTGAACAAAAGAAAACTCATCAAAAACAGAGCAAAACAGGAAAAGATAAAAAAAAGAAAAGAAAAGAAAAACCTGAATTGCATGTCATACAATGTCAAGATCCCACTTTCCAAGCCCTTTCACTGTCTCATGAGTCTGGATCTGCCTCTTTAAAGCAGTTTTTATTTGCCACTGTAACTTACTTTGCTTAGTGCTAATGGTGGATTCATGTTGGACCTTTGTGAATAAAAAAACAAAGTGTATGATCTGCTCTCTTTGTTAAGTCCCTTGACAAAACATTTGTCATGAATTGGCACTTCACAAAAAAAGGTTGATTGATAAGAATTAACTAAATTTAGCATCGAGCGCCGTCTGCTTTTTCAGTGACAACAGTTTAAACTTTTATCTTTTGTCACTCACCTGCAATTCCTGTTTATTTCTCTCTCTTCTATTTTTATTTGGATATAATATTATCTAAGCTGCACCATTGTTAGTCAAAAGGTTTGTTTTGTGTTTGTGCATGAAGACTGACCATCCAGTATCTGTTTGCAACACATCATGTTGATTTAAAATTCACCTGAGCCTGCATCTGTGACCTACCTGTTCTGACTTTTGGATAGAAATAGATTAAGGGACTATAATAACACCATGTTCTGGGAGGTGTACAGTAGTGGAGGATGTTAATGAGGTTTTTAACCTTATTTTCTGAGTTTTTCTTTGTAGACTTGTCAAGAAAAATGTTGTGGACCACCTGAGGCAAATTATATATGTACAGGCCTATCACATCCACATCCATGCATGTTGAGATCTGTTCTGTGATAATGTCTGTTGTTCATCCTCTGGATCTCTGCGCCTTTCAGTTGCAGCTTGGTTTGTCCAGGAGCGTCTCTCTGTGGTCACTGTGGAGTACTGCAGGACAGCAACACAGACAAAGGGAGGTAATGATATGCAGCAGAACAAAATGTTATTAAAGGTTTAAAAAATGAGGCATTTCTGAAGTCTAATGTCTGATCTGGTTTAATGATACATTTTAAACTAAAGTGTCTTTTTCAACACAAAAGTTTAGAACTAGTGTTTTAATTAAACCTCTGATTGAGCTTCAACTTTGTGAGTGCATTAAAAAAAGACCTTAGCTTCAGTCAACATGGACATAAACAACCTTCAACAGTGCAGCTGCTGCAGCCAGAGCTTGCTTCCCTGATGACGTCATGTTAGTAGTAAAACCTCAAAGTCTTTATGAATGAAACACCTCTCGCCGGGTGCGGTGGCGCGCGCCTGTAATCCAAGTTACCGGGAGGCTGAGGCTGGAGGATCGTTTGAGCTGAGCTCAGGAGCTCTGAGCTGCAGCGGACTATGTCGATCGGGTGTCCACACTAAGTTCGGTATCGATATGGTGCTCCTGGGGGAGCCCGGGACCACCAGGTCGTCTAAAGAGGGGTGCACCGGCCCAGGTCGGAAACGGAGCAGGTCAAAGCCCCCGTGCCGCTCAGTAGTGGGATCGCGCCTGTGAATAGACGTTGGAGTGCAGCCTGAGTAATACAGCGAGACCCAGTCTTTTGACACTCTGCATACTGACAAACAAACACACGATCAACAACAACAGTGTCTACATGTTACAACAGCGTCAGCAGCACTGCTTCTGCTGCTTCTTGTTTCCATCTAAACCTGCGCAAAGCTGCTGTGTTTGTTTGTCCTACAGCGCCTCCACCTGGAGGAGAGGAGCAATGACCATCAGTCAATCACACAGAACACATCCTCTAAAATAACAGAGTTTTTCATTTGATGAAAGAAGTTCATGGAGAGGTTAGAATCCACCATGAATGACCATCACACACAAGAACTGTATACTTCTAAAGTAGAAGGAAACTCTTGCCCTTCAGCCACTCCACAAATGGAGGTCGGTGATCCAAAAGAAGGACTTCACACCGACAAAAAATAAAATTCAGTGGATACCTTCTTCAAGACAGGAACCAAGTTGTCTACTTCTGTTTTTTTTAATCTGGAGGTTTTAAAAAAATTAGACCTTATGAGTAAATAAACAAACTGAGAATCATTCTTGACTTGTTGTTAGGTGGGGGTTGTTTCTGTATTTCAATGGACAATGATGAAATCGTGAAACAGACTGTGGATCATCTTAGATTTATTCAGCCATGGTCAGACAACACAGAAACACAACACACATGGCTGACAAAGTGCAGACCATCGCTGACCCATGCTGACCAAGATCTCACAATCATTGAAAATCATTGGCAAAGTGGCAAAGTCTTCATCTTCACAATGTTGATTATATTCTGCTAGAAGGTACAGCTCACAAATTCCTGGCTGCTTCAGTTCATCTCTAAAAGGCTAGAAAGAAGACATCACCTTGACTCTTAAATATCAGACATATACATTTCTTCAGTCTCAGAGTCACATTTCCTTTTCAGCTCACAACAGACACTTGGCTCCAAACCAGATATAACTCTGCTGCTATGAGGTCTCTTACACATATGCATTACAACTTCACAAACCTAAAAGAAGAATTACTCTTAGATGGTTGACACAATTCAAAGATATAACCACAAAATTATCAAGATGAATGAATCCATAAAAATACGTACTAAAACAAGTTGCACTTATTCATATCTGGTCCAAACAGAATTCACATTGCTGTCTTTCTCAATCATTTCATGTATTATAATCTGTTTATTGTTTATCCTTCAGACATTCCTGCTCTGTGCATGTTGAGATCTCACAGTGAAGACATCTGTTCTGTGATCATGTCTTTGAGATGAGCCCTGAATGTAGGATGGTGCTCTGTTGAACTTAACTGATCTCTGCCTCTTTTAGTTGCAGCTTCTCCAGCATGCAGCATGGTTTGTCCAGGAGCGTCTCTCTGTGGTCACTGTGGAGTACTGCAGGACAGCAACACACAGGTAAAGGGAGATAATGATATGCAGTAGTACAAAATGTTATTACAGATTTAAAAGGTACACAGAGCCCTAAGAAAGATCAACCCTCGCAAGGCAGCAGGACCAGACAACATCCCTGGGCAGGCCCTCAGAGCATGTGCTGATGAGCTGGCTGATGTTCTCACCTCCATCTTCAACCTTTCCTTCAGACAGAGCACCGTTCCCTCATGCTTCAAGACCACAACCATCGTCCCCCTTCCCAAGAAGAGCCCACCCACCTGCCTGAATGCAGGCCAATGGCACCCACCCCAATCAACACAAAGTGTTTGTAGAGAGTGGTACTAGCCCACATCCAGAGCAGCATACCGGACAACCTGGACCCCCTGCAGTATGCCTACCGGCCCAACAGATCCACCTGAGATGCAATCGCTAATGAACTCCACTATTCTCTCTCGCACCTGGAAATCAAAGACTCCTACACCAGGATACTCTGTGTTGACTACAGCTCCGCTTTCAACATGGTCATCCCCCACAAACTCACCCACAAACTGTCTACACTTGGCCTGCACCCCGCCCTCTGTGACTGGCTCCTAGACTTTTTGACTGGCAGGCCCCAGTCTGTCAGGATTGGTAATAGGACTTCAGCCAGCATTATTACGAACATTGGCACTCCACAGGGATGCGTCCTCAGCCCCATCCTCTACACCCTGTTCACCCACGACTGTGTCGCCTCCCACAAAGACAACATCCTCCTGAAGTTCACGAATGACACCGCAGTGATAGGACGTATCACTGGCGGGACGAAGCGGCCTACAGGAGGGAGGTGGCCAGCCTGGTGTCATGGTGTGATGACAACAACCTCACCCTCAACACGGACAAGACGAAGGAGATAATAGTGGACATGAAAAAGGAGAGAGACCTCATCGGCCATTTCCGGAGCTTGAGGTGGAGGGGGTGAGCAGCTTTAAATACCTGGGCGTCCACATCAGTGAGGACCTCACTTGGACACTCAACACTACGCAGCTCGTCAAGAAGGCACGACAGCGGCTGTCCCCCAAGATCCTTGTCAACTTCTATAGCTGCATTATTGAGAGCATCTTGACCAGCTGTATCACCATGTGGTACGGCAGCACCACTGCTATGGACCACAGACGCCTGCAGAGAGTGGTGAAGACTGCTGAGAGGATCACTAAGACTCCACTGCCCTCTCTGCAGAGCATCTACCACCGCAGAGTCCACAGGAGAGCTGCCTCCATCCTCAAAGACCCCACCCACCCCCAGCAGGACTGTTCATACTCCTACCCTCAGGCCGGAGGTACAGAAGTGTTAAATGCAGGACCTCCATACTCAAGAACTCTTTCTTTCCCACTGCCGTCCGACTCCTAAACAACTGACAGGAGTGTAACAATCACAAACTACATTATGCTCAATTTGCACATATTACACTCATTTTCTGCACAGTTTAAATTTTCTATTTGCACTCCACAGCCTTCAAATTGTCTTTTTTTTAAAATATATTTTGTATATTTGTATATATTATTATTGTTTTTATTATCATTATTATTTTTTGGCTGTGTTTAATTTTAATATT